CACAGAACAACCGTAATCCGAATGCCTAAATCTGAATCCGAAGAGTATAAATAAAACTAGAAGCAGCTGCAAAGATTAACAGCAAACTTCTTCCTGCAGAAAGTCCAAACACGTTCAAAAATCATGTGCAAAGTCATCATATTATGTCGCATAGACAAACATCATTTTGAACCATATTCAGATTTTGGCAATACCATAATAATAACAAAATCTACCCAAAACCGATGTGTGATAAGCCATTTTCGCAAGCATGCATTGAATGCTGTTCAAAATCAAACGAAAAAACGATCACATGAAAAACCCATATAAAAATAATAGGGCGTAGTCGCACGGTCTGCTTGCTTCTAGTAGAACAGGGGAATGTCTATGTAGGCCAAAGCTCCGTGATATTTTACTACTTACAATGACATCAGTGTGCACGGTCGAACTAAAAATCTCTTCGGATGCCTACCGAAATGCTATTAATCATAGGCATGTATGCATATACAAATGACCACCGTATTATGCCTTTATTGGTAAACTGCTAATTTTTGGTACCACTGGCAAGAATAACATTCGCTTCTAAATTCTCCGGATTTACATGGCTATTTGCACCGTCCTCTTGCCTCTAGTGACTTAGAGGGCCACAGATAAATAATATTTTTGAAGCAGGAAGATGGAGAATTGATACGACATTGTTACTGTTACCGCTGGTATCGAAAACTAGCAGTTTTCTAGCAAAACCATAAAACAGGTTATTTTTATGTAGAGAAATGATAGGCTTGCACTGCACAGACACTAACGCTAACGTAGTATATAATCTTTTGATAAGATACAGCTAAACATGTAAAAATGTGGAGTATCAGGGGCAAGACATTAGACCGCCCACTTGCAGCCACATGAAAGAAAATTAAACCGGAATAAAGACTGAAAAGTACTGAACAAGACTGGACTTTGCCGATGTCACTAAATGCCCCTATCTTTAACGTTTTGGGTTTTGTTTTAAGGTCATAATTAACCGGACAAATCTTAAACAGCATCAATGCAATTATACGTTAACTAGTAACCTTGACGTCTCGAATAATACTTATTCCCGAAATCTACCGAAACGATAATTACCGTAAGGAGATCGCGGGTAAAATGGCGTCGTTTCACGCTGAGGTATTTCTTGAACCTTGCCAAACAATTCTGACGAAGAAGCCTGATATACTCGTATTCTGTTTTCCAGGTTGCATGCCTTAACGGCGCAAAGCAAACGAAGAGTCCCGACGGCATCCACCTCCGCAGTGTATTCTGGGATGTCGAACGATATCTAAATGTGCACGAAATGTAAATGTACGGAATAGACGTGAATAAATGCTTGAAATCGCTTACAGTTGCAGTTGTTGGTAGAATGGTAAAAAGGAACTCTGACCTTTCTATTTATTTATATTATATCTGCCAAGAAACAGATGTTTATACGCTTATCAGATGTTTACACCCACCTTGTTATTATATAAGTATACACAAATATACTTTAATGAACCAACCGTCAAAGCAAAACTGCTCGAATAAATGGTTACCAAATGATTCTTAGTGTCGCTCCAAAAACTGCTGTCATTAACTGGTCAAAAACTAAGATGAACCTCAGTAACACCGTTAAACAACGTTATCATTCTCCCTTTCTCAACAACCAAGCTTGCCTTTCAACACGTTGCCACAGCCATCGCTATCAGGTTGTTCTAGATCAGACGCTCAAATTTCTATAATCAGATTTTAGACAGGTCAGTGTTCATTTACAACATTCGATGGAAAGGGCTTCAATTCAGTTAGCATCAACGTCTTGCTATATTTTTGATTTCAGTAACATGAAATACAACATGAGTGCTATGATCATCACCAGCTCAAACTCTCTACCAAAGAATAGGGTTCTGCATTATTCTCTTTAAAAGGCCAGTTATTACTATTACGCTTACCATTAATAACGCTGCCGGTAATGCTTGGAGTGGTTTGATGACAGCTGTTAATATTAGCAGTTGTCGTCGTAACTTAATATTATTACTTGTTACAGTGGCAGTAACAGTAGCAGCTCTCATTTTACTTCTATCATTACATGTACCACCAAGGAGAGAGTAGCTACTACTTCAGTTACTCGTACTATTAACACCACCGTTACTACTATGAGTAGTGTACTACTAGCAAGAGTAAATGCAGAAAAAAATCATAGTACTGCCAGCAATACTAAAATTCCTGCTACTGAAACTGTGATAGGTAGTGCTAATACGACTACTAGTTCTCTCGCCACTAGAAATAGTCGCGGTAGCAAAATCTTAATACTGCTAGCAGCATTAAAATTCTTGCAACAGTTACTGTTACAAGTAGCGCTAGCACTACTAATAGTAACAGTAATATCAGCAGATGTTGTACTACTAATACGAGTAGAACTGGGTGCAGTAACAGTAGCAGCCTTCATATTGCTACTGTAAGCAGTACTACGATGGCTGCTAGAATTACTATTACTCATAGTAGTGCTTGCGCTACTTGTAATAACAGCTGTAGCAGCAATGGAGGTGTAATTCACAGTAGTTGCAGTTGTATGACCGCTGCAACTGTTACAATTACTGTTACTAGTATTGCTGCAGCTATACCGCCACCATAGGTAACACTACTGCTGCTACCACAACTAATGCACCTAATACTCCATAACATTACTAGTAAAACTAAGGCGGTTACCACTACATTACTGCTAACAATTCTTTCTTCATGAAACTCCATCTCTGCCTCTCGCTCACTGGCTATTTTCCTAAGTATATTATGTAGATCGAGAGCGAACGAGAGGAAAAAGTTAATTACAAAGATTAAACTTAAAACAAAAGAATTTTAACGTACATATAAGTTATGCGTTAAATGCTGAAACAAAGAAATCGTGGAGTGAAAGTCCTGAAGATTACTAGAATTAATGAATTACTAGCACTCCAGAGTGGTTTGTAATAAATTATCTCACCTGAACGTGACTTTGTGCAGCAAGATTGTAGATTTCTATCGGCTTTATCATATTCACAAGCTTCATCAGATTAGCACTATCCGTCATATCGCCATAGTGCAAAATCACAGCTGAAAAATATTTTAAGATATAATTACCACAAACCACATAAAACAGACACGACTGTTTAGAAACATTTGTAATACAGGGATAAATGACACAAGGCGTTATTAGTTGAAGTAGAATATGTTTACACTTTGTTCAAGCATAAGTATTTTAACTCAGAATAACATATTGAGCGGCTGATTGCACGTATGGATGCCACAGCTCCATCTTGTGGAGCTCTCCACCTCATATCGTTGTCAACCTGCGAGAGCTGGTTGACCACAAGTTTATCCGCGTTCACGGCAGAGGTGCTGGAAGGATCCTAGCATCAGGTACAGTTTTTAATTAATCAATAATTCATTCGCGCAAGAGAAATTTACTTCGCTGTCCTTTGGTACTGAGAAAATAATTGACTTAATCAGCAAATAATAGCTCATCAATTAAAATTATTCGTCTGCTTCTTGCTACATACTGAGTTACGTCTATGATTGGTGTTTGTTTCTAAGAAATGAGGAGAACGAAAACACAAGTGGGCGTAAAATGGAAAAAAACATAGTTTATTACCGTTGGTATGCCGGTCTTCTATACACTTCTATCAGTTGAGTCATTTGTGCCATGCCGATATCCGTTTCTTTGCCATCTGCCCAAATGATCTCTCAGTTTGTTTTTTTCTTCCGGAACATAACAAGGAACGAAACCCTTGCCAAACGAACTGCAGAGTGCACAAAGCCAAAGAAGAGGCCAGAACTATGGTAAAGCCCTCCAATGATTCTTTTATTCAAGAAGAATGATGATGAAGACCTCCAGAACTATCAACTCAGCATTTTCCTGTCACAATTCTACAATGTCTTTGCATAAATCATTGTCAGCGATATTTGGAACGATCAAAAAATTTCTTCCTTGAAAGGAATAAGAACCATTTCTGAACAGGGTTCTCTACCACAGGTCACATTCGAGTTGTTGAGCAGTTAACAGAGAAATTTAACGAATAACAATTTCCCTCTGCTGTACACTTCGGAAAAGCAGTCGATTCCATCAAACTGAACGCTACACTGAATGCTTTGCATGACTGAGGTATTAACTCCTGTCTACGTCCACCCTTGATCGAGGAACCCCATATTGACACCGCAACCGACATCAAGCTGTTCAAAAAACTACACTGAATTAAAATCAAAAGAGGAGTACGCCAAGGAGATACTGTAGGCATGTATGTATGTATGTATGTATGTATGTATGTATGTATGTATGTATGTATGTATGTATGCATGCATGT